TCCTGGCATCGCTACTAGTAACAAGGACGCTACTAGGGGCTCCTGGCCTTACTACTAGGAACAAGGACGCTACTTGCACGACTCCGAAGAGGGCCCTCCGCGGCGCACGTCGATTCGCAAACTCCCGTTTCGCACATCCGACACGCGCGATCTTCGCAGAGGGTCATGTTTTGTGAGCGTCGGCCGGACCAGCCCGCCGCCTTAAGAGAAGCTTAGTAGAAAGATGTCGAACATGTCGTTGTGTAGGTGGGATTTGTAGGTGCCTTCACCTGTACCTATCTAAACACCTGTATCTCAACGTGTGTCTCCAACCATCCTATATCTGTGTAGGTGTGTTGTAGCACTTGCGTCACCTGCATCTCTGCACCTGTACCAGGATGATGAGGTTGATGATGAGGAGGATGAAGATGAAGGTGAAATTGATGATGACGTCGCTGTGTTGTAGCAGTTGCATCACCTGCATTTTTACACCATGATGATGATTATGATTATGATTATGATTATGATGCTGATGCTGATGCTGATTCTGATGCTGATGCTGCTGCTGGTGGTGGTGGTGGTGGTGGTGGGGGTATGGGTGGGGGTGGGGGTGACGGTGATGGTGATGGTGATGGTGATGGTTGGACAGTTGAAGTTGGCAGCTGTTCTTTGAGGAAACCCCTTTGCAGAACCGACGAAACCTGTTGGGCTGGGTGCGTTCGTGATTCGCCAACTTGCCCAGCCTGCGCCGAAGTGGTTGGTTCGAGCTCTGTCGGGCCGGTCGCGAATAGAGCCTGCTCTCTTCTCTTCTCAGCTCTCTTCTCTGTTGGATGATTTATGATGCCATCTATGCATTATTACCGACATGTGAGCATCGTGGTGGAATGTCGGAATTGTTGGTTTTTATTAATGCCCGATGTGTCTCGTGAGAACTGACAGTTGTGGAACCCACTGTTGCATAGAGGTGTTCGCACGTTTTTGTCACCTGGCAAATGCCAGGTTTGCATGACAAGAATATTGAAACCTGCCTGTGCCTTATTTTGCCGGTCATCGAGGTCGACTAAAACGATACAGAAAGAATCAGAAAGACATATTTGAGGCCCAGGACAGTACTCCTCTTGCGACGAGCTCACACGAAGTCGCCGAGTGCGAGATCCTTGGTCATTCCATTCGTTGGAGTTTAAGAGCACCGACAGCATTTCGTTGTCCTCTAGATCTTCAGACCCTTTGTTCTGTCTTTTGTGTGGAATTTTAGTGCAAGACATGACAAGGCACTTTCTGTTTTCAGGTGTATGAAGTCGTCCTCGGCCTGGTCCATGCCAAAGGGAGCCAAGCTCTTGGATTTCTTGGAAGTGATCTGAGCAAGTGGAGGGAAGAGAAACAACAATTTCATAAATCCTAGATAGGAAGTCTGATGTCAGTGGTTAGGCAACACCACACCCACTAAGGCCGCACAAGAGGCAGTGCGGGAAAAGCGGCCTGCTACCAAGAGTTTGTGCATGTTTGTGTGCCCGACAGTGTCCCACATACGTGTTGTATGGTATCTTTATCCTTTGCCATCCTTTGCGGCTTGATTCCAGTGGGTGGTTCGCTTCCAATGGGTAGTCTGTTCCAAAATCGTGCAAGATCGATGGAGATGAGAGAGCTGAGAGGCGAGAGAGGTCACCAAATCGTTCAAAAAAAAAAACAATCCAATTGAGCCAAATCAAACCAAATCTACATCATCATTATATCATCATTCATCCCATCTTCAGTTCTTACCAGCCCTCACGCTCCGAGGATGCAGGTGAGAGCTCCTCCTCCTGGGACTTATAAACTTCCCAGTTTTTTCGATGAGGTGGACCAACAACGGCAGGAGAACGAACTCGGAGTCACCATTTGGGTGGCTTTGCAAGGTGTATGAGAAAGAGAACAAATGAGGAAGATCATTTTTGAAGTTTGGGAGACCTTATGAAACTCATAGAAACTCTGAACCGTTCAGCCAATAATGTATTTATTAATTAAATGTTGTGGTGGAAGGTGTTCCAGCACTTCCAGTATCTTTCAGTGTAATCGGAGTTCCACCCAATTGACAAACACATATTTTTCATACCCTAGTAGGTTGGAGGCCATCCCTAGTAGGTTGAAGGCCATCGCATGTGGTTTGTGGTGCGAGGAGCTCGCTGGATCTCGTCCGGAACTGATCGCGGTTTGTGGTTTATTCCGCCATCGAATGATTTGATCCGATCGCATTGGAGTTCGTGGGCGAATCTGATCCGAGGCAGAAGCAAAAGCCGCCCATCCCAGTGGGACAATGAGTGGAAAACCATGTTCAGGAGACCGATAGACCTTGGTAGGGGTGGATGTTCGCAATTTGTTTGATTTCTTTGTCTCATTTGATTCAAGCATGGCAGCATCGCATCAGACATCAGAGTTCTTGAAAGCATCTCAAGTGGGTTTTCGAAGCACTAGAGACATGTTTCGGAATCCTTCTTCCCTCTGAATGTTACTGAATGTTCTTAATTATTTGATTGGACCTGGCATCACTATGAGTCTATGAGCACCGTCGAAACACGGCGTGAAAAACGGTGAGTCTTGCCAGGGCCATCCATGCATCACAGATTCCGAAGAAAAGACTGTCGTCTACCCTATGAGTCCAGCATAGTCCAGCTCTCCGGCGCTCCAGCGGCGGGGTTTGCCATTTGACACGAAGAGCGAAGCTCCTCAATGACAGGACTTTGTGGCACTCCTGGGTAGAATGATCGAAGGAGTTCAGAACACACAACAAGTGTCTGTTGTTTTTTTTTGCACATTTGAGCGTGCGAAAGAAGCTCATTTGCTCATGCTTCAACAGCGCTCTGACTCCTTGACATTTTCCAGGGTGTTTTTCCACCTGTTGGTTCGTCAGTAGGGCAGTCGCCGGCAGTAGCTCTATGCGAATAGCAGCCGAGCCTCAAGCTCGCCTCGAGGCTGTGCCAACTCCACACCCTCCAAGAGGGTGCTCGAGACTCCCGCAAAATAGTACCTGTTCGAGACACCTTTATGTACCTTTCTTGTCGAAAACACATCAGTGTGTTTTCCTCCAGAAACACAACATGGCGCCCCTAAAATTTGGCCGGAGCGATGATTGATCCCAAGGCGGCAGCTGAGGAACTCTTCCGACAAGCATGGAGCCCCAGGCAATGCCCGTGACAAACAGCCAAGCACGAGTGACATGGCCGAGCCAGTCTGAGATGAAAGAGTAGCGTGGCACTTGTTTCTAGTAGCTTCTTGTTACTACTAGTAAGGCACTTGTTACTACTAGCGTGGCACTTGTTTCTAGTAGCTTCTTGTTACTACTAGTAAGGCACTTGTTACTACTAGCGTGGCACTTGTTTCTACTATGTGAGTCATTGAGGTCTTCGGAAGTTCTAGTTTCCGGGAGGTGAGAGAGATGCTGCGAAATGCCTTCTTCGAGTAAACGCATGATGTTTCATGTCGTGTTCTTGGAATGCAATTTGGAAGACGAAGACGTGTATCTTTAGACACAGTTGGGATGCAAGATAATGCAAGACCAAACCAGGAGCGAGCAAACAGTACTCTGCGATATTCTGAAGGATATTCTACAAATGTTTGTGTCATCGGAACTGGTGCTTGTAAATTCATCCAGCTTCCTTGTGTCAATGTAACGAGTTTCATCGAGTTTCTCATCCAAACCATTTCTGCAGATGATGAGCGGTCTCTTCTTCCAGGCGTTGGGAAAACTGCACACCCAGCGTTGGGTTTCACGACGTCCGCAGCGTTTGAGACGTCGGTGGACGAGTTCAAACATGCCCGGAAGCAAGGTCGAAACATGTCGAAACATACGTTGATACGCAGCACTTGGCAGAATGGTGCATTCCTGCGCCCTGGCTCCATAGTGAAGGCTGGTTTGATCCTAGTCCTATTCAATCTATTCATCGTGTTTTGTGCTCAGCCTTGCATGTCTTGTGCTTCCAACATCCTCAGTTGATTCAAACGCTATTGGGCTGCCCAGATATATCCAACTGCCCAATAGGTGAGCACCAGATTTGGAGCTCAAAACCTTACGTGGGCAAGAGATGCGCAGGTGTCTCCTGACCGGAACTTGGTGGTGGCCTCATGCCGCAAAGCAGGCATTGATTCTACCAATGACGCCCTCAGGCAGGTTCACAAGGGGACGCATCAAGAGAAAGAGACCCAACATCGTCGCATCAATTCCTTCCTATGGATCATCGACCTTCATCGATCTTCCATGTTCCCCAAGTGTGCCTTAGAGGCGGGAAAGCCCTGCCCGGCCCTTTCCAGGCTGAAAGCCTTGGGGAAAGCAGGCCGTGTGACCAAGGCATCTCGACCCACTTTCAGCGACGGGGAGTGTTTGTTGGAACTTCCACCTGCCCTCTTCCACAGCTGTAGCCATATTCGGGCTTCGACTGGGGCCGCCTTGGCCTTTTGGGTTGGAGGCCGGTGGAAGATGGTACTGTAGAAGTTCCATTAGATCAGACGGATCATTGACTCTTCAACAGTCCCAGCTCCTGTCCGAAACAGGGGTGGACAGAAGCTCAGGATCTCAGGTTTGGGCCAGCCTCACTAGGATTCGGTCGGTTGGACAATGAACATACTTTGTATATGTTGGTATCTGATCTCTATCAAGTATGTCCATTATATAGTAAATAATGTCAAAGTTTTTGCATACTGTATAGAGTATAGACATAGAGATTCTATTTTTAGCAAGCAAGCCAGATACAGCCAGCGCACCACTCACAGGTTGATCACGATGACAACACGGTTAAGATTCGCGTGGCTGGTGTCGAGAAGGAAGTGTGGCAACGAAGCCCAGAGAAGGTTCTGCAGAGTGGCTTCCTTGTTACTACTAGTAAGGCACCTGTTACTACTAGCGTGGCACTTGTTACTAGTAGCTTCTTGTTACCCTTGGTTCTGCAGAGTGTGTGCCGATTTTTGTTTGTTCGAGGTTTCCTGCGGAGGTGCTTCAACAGGATGGACAACCAGGAGGTAACCGCAACGCTTGCGGTGGATTTTTGACGTGAAACGCATGTGAAGCACCCTCATTGTAAACAGAGTGTTTTTGTTGGTGCTTCCTTTTTCAGTTTTGAGGACAGCGTTTGAGGTGTTTGATGGATTTTAAATGGCCAGGAGATCCGTTCGCTGCGTTCGGGGGCTTTAACTTTGAACCCTTCAGTGCTCGTGGTTTTGACATTGGAGGCCGAAAGCCTGAGCAAAAGATTGGCAAAGCTGAGAAAACCATCAGATGCCATCATGCAAGAGGTATATATAACTATAATATATATATATATATTTTTTTTTTGTAATTAATATATTTTCACATATATATATATATAGCAATGCTGCCCACGAGCTCCCATCGAATACAGTCCCAGTCCCTCAGCAGCAAGAACACTTTTGAAGGAGGGGTCTTTGGACTTGACGGCATATGTTATTGCCACGAGCAAGAATGCTTTCTTTATGAGAATTAAGAATGCTTTATCAGAAGACCTTCGATTTTGATCTTTTAAGTTCGCGAAGAGCTTGGTGCTGTAGGTATGGGTCCAAGACAGGGTCAAAGCGTGGAGCAGCGAGTCGCAGGGGCCCTCAAGACGCCCACAGCTGCGACAAACGGGCACGTAGGAACTAATTATCAGAACTCGGAAGTTAGTGTGTCCACATTGGTACTCAAGCAAAGACTACAGGTATCATTGAATTGGGGAAACGAATCTGGATCCCAAGCCTACCATGTTTTTTTGGTTGCAGTCTTGCTTTAGTCTTGCATGCGTCACAGCTGGATTACGATTTTCTCGTTTCCACGCGAGTCACGTTGAGTCGTTGTCTCATGTTGGCAGGAGTTCGTGAGGTTTCTTCGTTCGGAGCACTTGGAACCGAACATTTTGCCCTCGATGATTTGCTGAGATGATCCCTCACATGTTTGGGCTCGAAAGTTCCGTAGTTCGTCCACAGTGGTGGGGCTTCAGCCCCCTGAGATCCATGGTTCTCGAAACGAAAAAAAACCCAAACATTCTTCAATGCTCTGCATCTCAGCACCTCAGCAGCCCAGACGTTGCAAAGCTGTTCAACGCCCTTAGCCAAGCTAACACAAAGTCAGAGGTCAAGATTATCCGAAAACCCACTCACGCTTCGGCTCCTTCTTCCGAAATTAATGAAGAAGAACATGCAGCCGACATAGAGAAGCCATGGCGGCGCCACCAGGAGGGCTAGCCATTTTAGTCGATGAGAAGCGAGTGAATGAGCTACTTCAGCAGAAAAGCGGGCTAAAAGCCTTGCTTCGGTCAACCTTCAACACTGTGCTTTTCGTTCTATTTTTGCTCCTCTTCACCTCCTTGGCCTTGAGTGAACCCTTATACAAGATGCGAGCCTTTGAGGGCTATTTGCGGAAGCGGTTTGATTCATCAGCAGCAATTCCTCTAAAGGATGTCTACTCAGTAGAGAGCTTTTGGAGATATCACAATGAGTCCTTCATGCCCGCCATCTATGGGCAAGATACTGCCAAGTATTCATACCCTGGAGCGGTGGTGGCCACGTGGTTACAAGTAGATGGACCAAACTATCTCTATGGCATGGGAAGGGTGCGTGCCTTAAACGTGAAGCCCAATGCAGATTGCCGGGTGGCACAGCAGTTTCAGAGTTACTTCCCAACTTGCTACGGACCCTTCAGTCTTCATGCATTAGATCGGGAGCGATACGGCCCCGGAAATGATGAGGGCGTGCCTTCCTGGTCCTTTGGTGGAGATCCTGAGGGGGAGAGTTATACTGGAATCCTTGCAACTTATCCACCCGGAGGATACATCGAGACATTCACTCCTGACTATCTCACCACCAATGCCAACTTCTACACCATGCGGACCGACGGCTTTTTGAGTGAAAAGACCAGAGTGGTTTTCCTCGAGCCTCATCGAGAAAACATCTTTTTTTGGCATTTGTGTTGTATTGACATGCTGTTGGTGTCGCTGTTTCCTTCCCATGCAGACTTGGGGCAATGCAGTCGAGCCCTTCCCAGCCAAAGACTGTTGCTTTGATATGTACACGCACACATCCATACACAACCCCTTCATACCTCTTCATACCTCTTCCACTGTTCGTGAGGAGGCATTCTTTTAGTGTGTGTGGGTGGTGATGCTTCGACATGGTAAGCTGACGATGACGCACAACGACACAACGACAAACCGCAGAAAACCACAGCGATGGCCTCCTTTTTCTTTTTTCCCTTTCGCGAGTACTGAGCCATGTGGCTCTTGGTCTTGGCTTCGCATGCATGAGGCTTGCACCAAAAGCCACTTAGGCGGGACACATCAAAAGCTGAATTCTACCTTCAACCTCCGGCCAAAATGGCACTAGGAGGTGAAGAAAGGCCGCAACTGTACCGTTTTGAGCGGTCCAGCTGCCAGCCAACCGAGTTGCACGCCAGTTGCAAACCACAGAGGACGGGAGACAATGCTGCATCAAGCCACTCACGCCACATCCGGAGCAGCCATTCACGCAACTCACCACGCTGAAGGGGCAAAGAGACACGACAAGAGCGCTGGTACTCTGGCATCTCCTGACACCCCACAGGCGTACACAACCCAAGCCTTCGCATGGAACAACAGCAAGTTGGCGGCCACGTCTTTCCTTGCCACTACGCCGCGCGCATTCAAAGTGCAAAAAGGGTTGCCACCTCACTTCCGGCTGTGGCCACCTCACATCCACCCCGACCTCCATCGAGGTACTCAGGAAGGTGGCTGTGACCAAGTAGCCCAGCTGGTCGGCCCATGCCCTCGACGTGGATTTAGGGTCTACGTAGCCAACGGCGAGAGCAACAGTTCGATCCAGGCAATTCAGACCGTAGATGCTCAAAGATGCAGGGCGCGGGCGTTCCACCATGGCAAGCGAAGCATCCCGCTAGGGCTACCCACCTAGGCTGGCCTCGTGCGGGCACACGAGACACCAACCATGGAGCCCTCGATGGCCTCCCACCTAATAGCGATGCCCTTGCTACTAGGCCCTTGTTACTAGTAGCGATGCACTTGCTACTAGCGATGGGCTCCTTTCCTTAGGAATTCACAATCTACAACTTCAACTTGGGTCTTTACGGCGTGTGCCGCATCGTCTTCGAGATCGCTGCGGCGGGCGACTGGACCCAGACCTTTGAGATCGATGTGTTGATGCAACGGAATTTGCAACCACTGGGCTCCGGGTCAACAGAGGACTGGTCTTTGGGAACGGTTGGTGAGAACGGGACAGCGATATGTTCAATCAAAACGCACATTTTCAGGTGTTGTTCAATCACTTGATACGTGTTTTGGTCATGGGCTGGTTGACCTCAGGATTGGCTTTTCCTCATCTTGGAGGCAGCACTTCTGCTCTTTGTGATCCGCTATGTCTTGGAGGAGGCTGCAGAATTCGTTGGCTTTGAATCCAAGAACGGCAAGATGCGGCTGACCATCAAGTGGGACTACTTTTTGGATGCCTGGAACATCTTGGATTGGTTTAACCTTATAATGATGATTATCACTGTTTGCTACAAGATTGACACCTGGGCGAAAGCAGGAGCACTTTACGTGATCTCTCCAGCTGATTGGAATGCTGTCACGCGCGACATGTATTCCAATTTTCATGGAGTATCATCAAACATACGTCAAGTGCACAGCCTGGTGGCCTTCAACACCATTTTGACGTGGTTCAAGGCAGTGAAATACATCAACATCATTCCCTATGTGACAACCTTCATGCAGACTGTCTCCATATCGCAGGTCAACCTTGGATCTTGGATCGTGGTCTTTTGTTGCACTCTCACTGGCTTCGTATTGGCTTTTAGTACTGCCTTTGGCGCGGATGTGTCCGCTCTTCGTACTCCTTTTCAGGCACGCATCAAGAAAGGCTGTATAGGTGCGATAGCCGTGCGATATGATCATGGACGTCAAAAGCCACTTCAAAACAGTTCCAAACAACCATGTATAAAACAATATTTTATACACAACAGTTCACCATTAACTTCCGATTTACTCTATTGTGTTTGGATGTTTGGATGCGGCCAGTCAGCAATGCCTGATTAAACTAGCGACGATCATCAGAATTGAGGCCTTTGTTTTCATCATGCTGACGATCCTGGGGAACAGCGACGTTTCGGTGATCTATGAAGTGGCTCCATTTCTGGGTTCCTTATTGATCATCATTTATGTGGTGGGCATTTTCTTCGTGATCATGAACCTGTTCTATGCCATTATTGTCAGCACCCTGTCGGATGCAAAGATGGAAGAGGATGCCAAGCAGAAGAAGAAATGGGCCGTGATGGGAGATCGTATCAACGACACCTGGAAGGCACGTGGTTGATGAAACCTTGACCACGTTTACAAAATATACAAAGGCTCTTCTGCAGATTGTACACATATTGATCTAAAATCTAAATAAGTTATGTATATAGATCCGTACACCGACCATTCGTACGTTGATTCCGCTACAACCCAGACTGAGGAAGGGCCGCCGTGAGTGAAGGACTGTAGGAAATGGAATGAAATGGATGGATACAGTCTTTTCTTATATATAGTTCGATGGAGACACGGAGCATTTGTGGCCAGTATCCCCAGTACAGTTACACTGCAGTTGCATAGTTGACCAGTACAGCTTCTGGAAAAGAAAGCATTGCCTGAGGCCCTGAACCGCGGTGGGAAGCTGGAAAAGCAGTTCCGGAGCTGTTTCCCAGGCCTATACTCACGTCTCATGAGGAGACAGAAGCGGATTGAGTTGAAGGAGAAGGCGCGAGATGATATGGTGCTTGCTAAAGAGATGAAGACACTTGGTCCAACCCAGACACTTTTTGCTTCTTCAACTTAGCTAAGCTGGCTTAGCGGAGTTCCATCGCTGCAACACATAATATCTCCAAGGGAGAAGCATAAATTTGGCTTCCTAATATGCTCACAGGAATTTTCCCCAGGAATTGATTCTATTTCTAGGGTAGCTCTAGGGTTTTCAAGCTTCATGGAAATATGAAAGGACCAAGGGACCAAAGACCGACATCTTCCCAAACCCTTTCAACCCCTCACACAAAATTCAGCCCAGACAGTATTTTTTTTCAGTGTGGTTCAGGTCTTTAAGAGAACTGAAATGAAGAGAACTGACAGATCCCGAGGTTACGAAGGGAAGATATGAGTTTGGCCTTGGGTCCTGGCAGCAGTGCATGGGGCCGCCGCCCCAAGCGTCAACTGGCCACGGTGGCCATGGAGGACAAGGAGTCTGACAGCGATGCCTCAGAGCCCGATCTCGGCCCATGTGCTGCAAGTTAAGCGTCGCTTTTAAACAAAGCAATCCTTTTTTGAGTTAACCTACTAGGGATGGCCTCCAACCTAAGAGCAATGGCCTCCAACCTACTAGCGATGGCCTCCCACTACTACCAATCGCTACCAATGCCCTCCAGCATTACTTGGTAGTTGGACGTATAGATCGTACGGATAGTTCTTGCTATTGCAATATGGCTGTGAGGGGCTATGAGGAACTGTGAGGATTAGGCAAGCGGACCCCAAAACACACTCCATCATCCGTTGGCTCTTGATAGAAAGGGGCCATCCAGTCTCAGACTGCCTTCAAGAAAGTCATGCTGAAAGAAGCGCTGTTCGCATTTTTGCTTTTCTGGGAGTCCAGGGTCAATCATGATCAGGAATTGTTATTCAACAAGAAAGATTAGGTTGGAGGCCATCACTCTTAGGGTTTCAAAACCCTAACATCTAAAAACCTTACCATGTGTTGTTGTAGAGGTGCGGAAGGCTTCGACTTCCACGTGTAGGTCGAATTAGGTCGATATTTTGTAGACAACTGTACACATGAGCTGGTCGCAACTGTACATTAATAGTGAACACATGGGGGTCTCTCGTTCTCCAGGATGCTTTGGATCCCACCAAACAACTGGTCGGATGAATGTTGCCTTTCTTTCACCCGTGCCCCGCACTTCTTTAGGTCCACTTCGATCATCTGACCAGCTGCGCGAGAAGGAAGACAATCTCTTTGCACCGGTGATGGATGATGAGCCTACTGAGCAGGACCTCACAGACGAGGGCCTCTCGTTTGGACATGCACCAGAGGTCTGGGGATCACCCGAGGTCTGAACACGACTGGTGTCTGTGCTCGATGTGTTGAATGCTCGATGTGTTTGCAGTGTCGTCTGTCAACGAGACTGCCAGCACCTTCGACCTGCGAACCAATCTAGAACACAGGACACAGCACCCATTCGACGCAGGCCGTCCAACTCGTCCAACTCGGGGACTCTAAGGAATCGATTTGGTCATCGATGCTACACGCCATGTGGCTTTTGGCGTGGTGGAGCGAACCAAGGGCGCTCGGGGTGTGCTCTTCGGAGAGATGTCCGAGTCCATGGATGTCTTGAACAATGTGGCAGCTTCGGTGGAGAAATCCGGTTGGAACATGTAACCTGAAGTCGGCGTCCTGTTGTGAAGCGGGCCATTGGAGGTGATTGGCTCCGTGTGGGTTCGGTCCGGAGCCTGTATTTGCTATCAGGAACAGATCGGTAGTTGCCAATGTGAAAGGGCCGGTCAAAACTATTGTGACATAGGATGGGTCCACTGAAGACTCTTATTGAGTGGATGCTTCTTGTTGTATTTTTGGAGGGAAAACAAGGGGCCAAACGACTTGAACCAAATTTCACATTGCACACAAAAAGCACTACACCAGGGCAGCCTTTTGCATGACTGGGCCACCACCGTCTTACAGGGAGGGTTCCAATTTGTTGCCACCTTCACTAGATTGCCCCAAAAAGTATTTTCGGACCTATGAAGGCTTTTTTGGAGCAAAGAACACGCTTAGCGCTTCGGCACGCTTGAGGCCACAGTGCTGGAGGTCCTTGGGAAACGCACTCGCGACCTCGAAGCCCAACAGCGACAGATTCTGAGGCGGTGAAAAAAAATCGCGAGGTCCACAGACATGAATTTTCATGCATTGTCCTTCATGCGTGTCACCATTAGAGTCGATGGTGACATGGACCAATCAGGAACCTGAAATGTCTGTGGAGTTCTCGGAGTAGGAGTTGGGAAGGGTCAATTCCTCGCCTGAAAACAAGGCGGACTGTTTCACAGGTGCTAAAAGAATAGCACACACCGTTCAAGAGCATGCAATGTCTTATTGCCGCTGTATCATTAAAAGAGTTGGCAGCTGGCCACATCTCAGTGCCCAGCCACATTGCACCGAGTTATTTGAGCTGGTGTATGCTTCGAACCAAAAGGTAGGTAGGGTTTTGGCCAGCTGCCAGAATTCACAGCGTTTCACGCAATGTATAGCAAATGAACATGCATGCTGATGTAGAAGAACCAGTCTTGACGGAGATACCCCCACTCTGCATGCAAGGTCCGTGGGATGAAGGGCAATCTCATAATGTCAGGTCTGATGAGTCTTGAGCGCGGCTCGGAAAAAGTGACAGAGTTTGATCAGGAGCACATCTTGTAGATTCCTCTTGAAATGGAATACGGAGCCTCCTTGGTGGACATCACGCCGTTCTAGGTCCATGTGTTGGTTCTCGTTTTTCTCAACGGTTCACGCTCAATGAACGATTTGCATCCTGCACAGCGCAGCTCAGGGATATTTGTGGTTCACATGCTCTCGTCCGCAGCGTGTGCAACCCTGCAGGAGGAGGCCCACTGAATTGTTCATAGTCTTGGACTGCTCTCGGAATTGCGATTCTTGCGGAGTCTGGCAGGTGAGAGGTTTGAGTTGCAAATGCTTTCAAGCCCTCTCTACAGCGTAGACCGTGAATTCATACGTGTCTCCAGATACGACATGTCAAGTCAAGGGATCCCCTAGGATCTATTTGAACCTTCTTCTTTCATGATAGGTTTGGGGCTTGGAAGAGATCCACCGATGGCAACCGCCCGAAGCGACAGCTGTGCTGAAGCGGTTGGCACGTCAGAGCCGCTGGGACCTGGCGCTGGAGGCCCCGCTGGGACCGGGCCGTCGGCATCAACTCATCACGGGTCGGCATGAAACTGGGGCATCATGGGAGGCCATCGCTGGTAGGTTGGAGGCCATGGGCCGGTTTCACCGCATGTCACGGAAGATGACACTGAGTGACACATGAGGTTGGACTCGGTTGGACGCGCTTACCGAGGTTCAGGTTGAGGTATTGTGAGGGGTTGTGGGGCGTTGTGGAGCACCAAGGGCTGTCTGTGCACCGCGCCAAACCCGTGAGGTTCTGCAACTCATGATGCCCAGCTGCACTGGCAACTAATGTGCCCTTCTGTTTTTGTTTTGCCTTGTTTAACAAGGCACGGATATATTTTGTTGTTGCCAAAGCGCAAGCGTTTGCCAGGCCATGCCCTCCTATTCTCCTATTCTTCATGAGTCTTTAGTAAGTCTTCAATTGGCACTAAGGCTGGACAAGCGTCTCGAAGTGAACACCATCCATTACAACACCATGCTGGCAGCCAGTCGAAGGGACTGGGAAGTGGGACTGCTGCTTCTGGGTCAAATGCCCTCGAAGAAGTTGCGGCCCACAACAGTAAGCTTCAACTCCATCATGGGGGCAGCCAACTGGCAACAAGTTCTGGAACTGTTAACCACCATGCAAAATATAGAGCTCAGGCCAAGCCAAGTGTCCTACAACACCGCCATGTCAGCATGTGCTGGTCAGGATGCTTGGGAAAAAGCACTCATGGTGTTCGATCAGTTGGATTTTCGAGATCAGATCAGCTACAGCACAACCATCACGGCCTGTGAACGGGGGAATTCCTGGCAAGGAGCGCTTGATCTTCTTGGAACTATGAGTCTTCAGCAGCTGATACCCGACGTGATTACCTTCAGTGCAGCGATCAGTGCTGCAGGCATCCAGTGGCCAGTAGTCATTGAGCTCTTGGAGAGCTCCATTCAGTTGCGAGTGACCCCCAATCAAATCTCTTATTCAGCAAGTATCAGTGCTTGTGAGAAAGGTCACCAGTGGATCACAGCATTGGACTTGCTCTCATGCATGTTTCGAGAAGACGTGACGCCGAACGAGATTAGCTTCAGTGCTGCAATCAGCAGCTGCGAAAAGGCTAGCCGGTGGCCAATTGCCTGCAGCCTGCTTGCCTCAATGTCAACCTTGCGGTTGCAAGTGGATGCCATCAGCTACAATCCAGTCATTGTTGCCTCAGCAAACGGATGCGAATGGGAGCTTGCTCTTAGCTTGTTCAGTGAAATGCCAGCAAAACTCTTGGCCCCCCGATGCTTTCAGCTATACAGCTGTCACTACAGCTTGTGCACGCACCAGTCAGTGGCAAATTGCACTGGCTCTTTGGAGGTCTGGAAAAGTGAAAGCGAGCGAGATCACTTGGAATTCGGTCATTAGTGCCTGCGAGAAAGGGGGTCAGTGGGAGTTGGCCCTTTTTCTCTTTGGTCAGACAGACCTGCATGCGCAAGAAAGCACATTTGGCACTGCCATAAGCGCTTGCTCCAGGGCTGCCCTTTGGCAGGAGGCATTGACTTTGTTAAGCCAATGTCAACGTCAGCATTTGTTGCCCAGTGTTGTGAGCTTTTGCACAGCAATGAGTGCATGCGAAGGAGTTGCTCCATGGCAACAATCTTTACAGCTCTTTTGTTGGATGTGGAGAGATCGTGTTTCTCCAAATCTACTGACCTACACTTCTTTAATCAGTGCATTTGGGAAAGCTTGGCAATGGGAGTTCGCCCTCTCAATCTTTCACCAGATGCAGCGAGGGTCGCAGGTCGCAGCACCCGATGCTGTGACCTGTTGCGCAGTGATCGCAGCTTGTGAGCGAGACGGCCGTCGGCATTTGGCCATCAGGGCCATCAGCCTTCTTGCAGACCTGGCAGAGTCACAGATCCAGCCCTACAGATTTTGGAGAGGAAGGACATACAAGGACATTGGCATAACTTTGTAACTCCTCAGAGGAGCTCTTCAAGAGAAAAATGCACTGAATTAGGCACAGCATTGTTGATTTATGTTGATGTTCCTTTTTCGTTTCTCGCGGGCAAACTCGCAGAACTTGCTTGCATTACAGTAATTTCAATTTCACGGAATGAATAATTTTCCAAAGCTCCTGCCGACAGTGCATACTTTGTTGGTGATCTGGCTTGGAATTCAGGGTCGTGGCCTTTCACTACCTTATGCTACCTGTCATTGATTTCCCATGAGGAAGTGTCCCGAACTTTAAGCTAGTGCCCAAGCGGCCACATCGGCACGGGGACACATTGAGTTGTTTTGTTTGTTGTCTCGTTGTGCCAATTTCACAGCTGGATGGAGTGAGATTGAACCCAACTTTTGAGTTCACAAACCATGTGCGACATGCACATGTTGTAGGCTCACCAGAGCACGTTGACATTCTGCGTTAATTGCTGCATCACCGGACTGCAAAGACAATTGATACAAAATTGAGAAGTTCAGCTTTTCCCGAGCCACCTGCATTCCTTGCAATGCTCCAAAATTAGGCCATGACCAAGAGCAGCTGGATCCACAAGTTTCTAGTGACCAAGACTTCCTAAAGTACTTGGTATCTTCTCAGCTATGAAGAACAAAGCTAGAGAATACAAGTGAAATGGATTGAAATGTTGAATTACAATTTAGGCAACAAGAGAGGTTTAAAACACTCCCCATCATTCCACATCTCAATCCAGCACAAGCTTCATCTAAAGTTGATTTTGTCATCACACGGGGCAGTGACGAAATAACGGTCATGGTCAGGGTTCAGATAGCCCGATGCCCTGCAGTGGCCAAGGTGAAAAGAAAAGGGAAGCATTTCATGCAGATCATCACACGGACAACGACACCCGATGGCAGAATCAGAGAGGACATATTTTAGTTTGCTGAATTGTTTGACATTTAAGCAACATATGAAATGTGACATGGAGACAATTCCTGTTCGTAACTTGGACAGGACGTCAAAGAAATCGAAATACAATGAAAGATCAAAATACACCATTGTACAGCAGCTCACAACTGAAAACAATTACACATCAAATTAGAAATTATAGATTAATGAATACTATTTCTATGATATTATCAATATACACAATATATATATATATATATTACGGACGCCTAAGATGGAAAAAAAATGGTTGTCAGAATCTTCTATTTGAAAGTGTGCCCGGTTTTGAACACCCGATCAATTCAAACAGAACATGGCTCACAAGCCCGGGCGAAACAAAAAGAAGATATTATTTGGGACAACCGCAGCGATTTCTATGTTTGTTGTTTCCCTGTATGCCCCTTTATGTTTTCTATGTCTTGGTCTTCTCCTTCTTTTCCTTTTCCTTTCCATTTCCCTTTTCCTCTGGTCTTTTTCCTTTCTCTCTCCTCATTTTCTTCTCCTCTTTATATTCCTTTCTTTCTCCTCCTTTTCTTCTCCTCCTTATATTCCTCTCTTTCTCTTCTTTTTCTTCTCCCTCTCCTCGTTTTCCTCTCCCGTTCCATTCCTCTCTTCGTTTTCTTCTCTTTTCCCCTCCCCTCTCTTCCTATGGTGCTTTATGTGGTTATGTTATGATATGTTTTTACGTAATGTATACGATCGGGCATTACATTTGGCTTAAGGTATATTGTGCGATACAAAAGCCGCTTAGTTCGCCTTCGCTCGTACGCTCTTGTGGGTTTGTTAGCCTGTAAGCCGATCTAGGTTGATATTGTTGATTACACGCTCCACTGCGGGGGGATTCCACCCTTAAAGTGGTAGCGGAGTTTCGTTGCTCCAGAAATCCCGAACTAACGGGTGGGTTTCGGCGCATCTTCGTTCGCGTAGAGTCGCTACAGCTGACACACAATGAGCGATAGCGAGAGTTTAGAAGAAGGCTATGAATTAGACTATTATTTAGATGGTAGCGTTACGTATTATTAAGTCCAAACACTAATAAGTCCTGAAACCGCTCTAGCGGTAGGACATCGTAGGCTAGATGCGTACGTAGCCTAGGTTCCCGAGATATCTTAACTTAGGATGACTCCAAAGATTGCACCGATTTTCGACGGTTTAACATCCTACTTTGAGTACGAAGATGGTATAGATGATTGGTTGAACCTGACGACATTAACTCCTCGAAAACACGGTCCTAGCTTGAAAAACAGCCTGGTAGGTGCAACCGCACATGATAAAGACATGCTAGAAAATCGTCTTCTCGTAGATGTAGAAACACGTGTTCTTAAGTCGATTCCTTCAGTTGTTTCGATAATGGCGTGGTTCCCGTGAAATGGTCACTTGGATTGGTCTTTTCGAAATTACTATGAGACGTTTGCAAAACGCGTGGATGGACCTCTATCGAGACTTTCCGGCACCACAAAACAGTCGAGTTTACCAACACCCTGACTGTAGCGTAACGTGTTGAAATTGCAACGATGGACCCAGAAGACAGACCCGCTGCTGTGCAGGAAATTTGGAATCAACGAATAGAAGCAGCCAGACAAGAACATCAAGCCGCATTCCCACTACCTGCGAATTTGATTGCCATGATATTCATTGCGTAGGCAGATTTGAACGAGCAACAGCCAGAACGACTGGTATCAACAATGAATGCACAAAACATTCCAATGGAAAACTACGAGTATCAGGCAGTCAAGACACAATTTCTACAACTTTTCTGTGTAAGTAGAACTAGTATTAGCGATCCACAGCTTCAATACCGCCCTAGCCGTCGTAGGCGTCGAACATATTTCATTGAGGAATACGGCACCATGGATGGCGAAGAAGGCTACTGTGTGACCGATGAAACCACATGTGAACAAGGTTTCATGGCGCTGTACGACGAAGATCATTTTCTTGCGCTGAAGGCTGACGGACAAGGTTATCGTAGAAGGAAAATCCGCGGCCGGAAATTCAGGAAAGGCAAAGGAAAAGGAAAAGGTGAAGAAGGCTAGGATTTAGACCCCGTGGTCGGGGCAAAGGCAGTTCGCGCATGACAGAAATACAATGCGAATATGAAGATCCGGACTCCTCCTTCCTTGGTAAAGGCAAAGGAAAGAACAAGTCCTATACCCCGCAATGGTATCAGCCACATGTCGGAAAAGGAAACAAAGGCAAGGGTCAGCAACCGTTTGCAGGAACGGCCAAGATTAACAATTGTTGACATATAACATTAAGTCACGAAAGGTAGCCCTTTAGGGGATACCTTGAGTTTGTCTTGCGAAGCAAGTGTTGGGACGTCCGGGTCTAATAATTGATCGCTCAATTCAGACCCCCCCCCCCTCCCCCCCTCTAAAATCAATTCTCTCCTGGAGAACGTCTTCGTGAGCCTCTCATGATTTCAGGA